ACTGGGTCTAGTGGTATCCTCCCATACTTAGTGTCCACTGGGCCCTCAGATTGTTGACCATCTTTGGAAATAGAGTCATTGCAGATGTAAATAGTTAAATAAGGTCATACATAATGACATACGAGTGCACCCTAAATCCAATGACTGTTGTCCACCTGTTCTCTTGCCCTTTTTTTTTTTTAATCCTCACCTGGGGATGTTGCATTTTTGAAATTGATTTTTAGAAAGGAAGGGAGAGGGAGCGAGAGAAGTATTGATGTGAGATGCATCAATCGGCTGTTTCCCATACGCACCCCAACTAGGGATTGAGCCCACAACCTAGGTACGTACATAACAGATTCCCTGAGTGGGACTCGAACCCTGTGGCCTTTTGGTGTACAGGACGATGCTCCAGCCAACTGAGCCATCGGCCAGGACAGTGTTGTTCTCTGGAGAAGGCCTTGGGGTGCTGGGAATTTGGGTGCTTGCCCAAGTCTTCCAGCTCTCTGATTACTGAGGACTTCCGGAGAAATCAACACGTAGTGAGCGAAACCAGCCACTTGCATGAGTGGTTTGCTCTATTTCATCCTCTGAGGGTAATTATAACTTTGTGTTTTTGATTTATTCCTTATCACCACCATGTATGTTTGATACCTTCTCTATTTCTAAGTCCTCTTTTTGTTAGGAAAAATTTTGTACACTATTAAATCAGCATGAAAAATTTGAGTTTTGTTTTGCTTGATAGGTAAAAAATATTTGAAATGTATATAGATGTATATTCAAAATTTATTGTTAATGTACAACGTATTTTTGCTTTTATTTGTTGTGGTTTTTGCACTTTTTTTTTTCTTTGTGTTCCCCCCACACACACACAAAATCACAAGATGGTATCCTAACTTTTTTTTATATGAAAACTATACCTTTGATTGAAGTAGAAGGTTTACTTCCTGTTTTGTGCATCATGCTTCATATCAGATTCAGTTATGTTGCTTAAAATCAGTTATAATTTAAGTGGGAAATAATTTTTCAAAGGAGGCACATTCTAAAATATCTAAACAAAATATGGCTGAAAATAGCAATTGATATGAGGGGCCAATATGTCCAAAGTATCAACAGATGAGAATCTAATCACACAGGATTTGGTTTGAATACTAGTATTTGGTTAATTGAGGATATACTCAACCTTAACTAAATTAAAAATTGCATCATTTCTTTGGAGACCTTTGAGCATGAGATAGAATATCCATTCACTGGAAAGATTTCACAGTGAAATGAGAAAAAGAGCAGAATGATGTATAATAAAAAACAGTCAGGAAACCTAGCCCATCTTCATCCTACTCTAACAATTTGGATTGTCCTTTTTCTTAGCTATTTCCTTTAGGAAGATATATTATCAAAATGTGAAGCAGTGTTGGGATGTCCATTACTCGGTAATGGGTTCATTTGGCCTTTACCAAACACTGAACTTTTGTGGGTGCCAGTTTTATGCAAGTGAATAGAACTCAGAAGCTCATTTCGGTGGGGGAAACAGAATATGATTCTGATATATTTGTGCATTGTATTAATAAGTTCATGCACCGGTGTACAGTTTATCTGTTGAATCCAGGTAGTAACGACAGAAGGCAGACTAAATGAACTTTTGTCTTATTCAGACAGGGAGTACAGGGCATGCTTAAGTATAATAGATGTGAAATGAGCAAAAAATATTTTTAAGTATTTTGTGTTCAGTATTTTGTACATCCTGTAGAAAAACCCGCCATTCACTGCATATTTTGAGGCACTTGTTAAATTGGGGGGTATGAATTCCGTTTTAGGACTGTGTGGATGTATTCTCATGATTAATTATTATGGCAGTAAAGAGGAAATGATATCAGCAGATGTGCAGAGCTTTTATTCCCACTGAATACACCATTCACTTAGACAAAAAGATCATTTCTCAATTGAAATCGGAATATTCTAATTTAAGTTGTGTCATAATCTCTATGGAAACAAAGCGTTCCACTGTGCAGTCGTTGCATAAGTAACTCATTTCCCCCCATATGCACAAGGAAGAGGCAGATGCTTCTTTTTCCTTGTTTTTCTCAAAACTTACAACAGAGGAGACTAGCTGGTGACATTCGTTTTGTCCAATTTAAAATATCTGTTCAGATTTCCTGCTTAAAACTTTCTTATAAAATTGTTAAAATGTAGAGAGATCGTTAATGAGTTGCCTTTCTTTTCCTGGCTGAATCTTGATTCAGAGGATTATTATCCTTCTAAGTCCTTAGATACTGGCATCGTCTGCTTGTGTAAGGCCGGGTGATCGGTTTCTTTTTATTGATCTTCAATCATTCTTTCTGTACTAGAGGCCTGGTGCATGAAATTCTTTCACTCGGGGGTTTCCTTAGCCTGGCCTGTGCCCTCTCACAGCCCGGGAGCCCTTGAGGGATGTCCAGCTGCCGGCTTAGGGGAGTGGGCATTAGAAAAAGTTTAAAAAATTTGACTCTCAAAAGAAATTTCAATCGTTGTACTGTTGATTTTTGGCTCTGTTGACTAATGAGTTTGCCGACCACTGAGTTAGGGTAATATATAAAAGGCTCATTGTAAATATTTGCTGTTTCCATTGAGGAGAAAAATCAGGAACAGGTGAGGGGAGAGGAGAAGCGACTAGGACAGTGGGCAAGGGTATACAGTGCTTCCCTGCTCAGCGAAGGGGTCAGAAGCTTTGCCTCAGAGTAAGTGTTAGTGCCCTCTTGTGGGCGGATCTGGAAAGACTAAGCTTCTATTAGGATGCCGTGCAAAGCCCCAAATTTCTACGCAACAGTGATATAAAACTGCAGGTCACAGGTCAGCACTCTGGTCTGATGTGATTATGTCCTTCCACCAGCAAGTCCTAATCACTCCCTCCATGGACACTGCCAGGCCCAGCTGCCACCCTCCGTTCCTGGGTTTTCTCTGGAAGCCTCCTCGCTGGTATCCTCGCCTCTGTTCCCGTCCTCCCAGTGTCATGCTCCACCGTAGCCACAGGGATCTTTAAAAAGAAATAAAAGTTAGGTCATGTCACTTCTTGTATAAAACTCTTTAGTGGCTTTTCAGGAAAATGGAATGAAACTCAAGTTCCTTGTCCTGGTATAGAAAGCTCTGCATCGCCCTCACTGGTGTTGCTCAGTGGATAGAGCTTCTTGACTCTCCCACCCCTACCATGATCAAGATTCATAACCTATCCCTAACTGGTTTGGCTCAGTGGATATAGCGTTGGCCTGTGGACTGAAAGGTCCCAGGTTTGATTCTAGTCAAGGGCACATCTCTAGTAGGAGGTGTGCATGAGGCAGCTGATCGATGTTTCTCTCATCGATGTTTCTAACTCTCTGTCCCTCTCCCTTCCTGTCTGTAAAAAAAAAAAATCAATAAAATATATTTTTTTAAAAAAGATTCATAACTGTAACCTTGTCTTCTAGAGTCCCATCTAAATGATAGGTCAGTTAGGCAAAAGGGGAAATTAAAAAAAGCAAAAAGCTGATGTGTTTCATCAAAACTTCTAATTTAGTTCATGTTTCTGTCAGCCGCATTCAAAGAAATTCCTTTAAAATTTTAAAAATACAAATGGACATCATCCTTATCTGATATTCCTAATTTTACAATCCTTTCCATAACTGAATCTTAAATACATAAATATCGAAAAATCCAGAAGACTAAATGCACCAACTTGTACAATTTACCTGCAGCCTGTGAACATACTATTTGTTTCTATATTACCTAAAAATGCCAGCTGCTTTTGAAGCTGAAGTATTAACTCCAAGCTACGTTACTGAAATTAACTGGAAAATGACTTTCCCTTCTGAATGTTAGTGTAGAAAGTAAATATTATTACGAGTCGATTAGGCCAGTGTGACACTGATTTTCATACACAAAGGAAGGGCTGAGAGGAGGATCCCAGGAGTTCTGATCCCCAATCCAGAGCCGCTGGGAAGCCGTTTATTCCTTGAGGACCCACAGCTGACGTCCCCTCACCCAGTGATGTCATCACGTTTCCTGGTGGTGGTGATTTTGGGGGGGGCGGCCGGGGTAAGCAGCTGCTGGACTTGGCCTGAGAGCCGGATGTCCCCCCAGACAGGATGTAAGGTCAGAACGCAGTCTCATTGAGTAAATAAAGCGCTCAGTGGCAAACGAGAATCGCCAAAAAATATTGCTAAGCTTATACTGAGGCAACATTCTTCCTTCCTAAAAAATTAATCTGTGCTCAAACCGGTTTGACTCAGTGGATAGAGCGTCGGCCTGAGGACTGAAGGGCCCCGGGTTCCAGGTTCGATTCCGGTCAAGGGCATGTATCTTGGTTGCGGGCACATCCCCAGCAGGGGGCGTGCAAGAGGCAGCTGATCCATGATTCATCGATGTTTCTAACTCTCTCTCCCTCTCTGTAAAAAATCAATAAAATACATTTGAAAAAAATTTAATCTGTAGCTCCTGTTGTTTCTTACTCTGGATGCCGTGTGAGTCGCTGTCATAAGTCGAGACAGGGCTGTGCCAGCTGTTACTTCACTTTCTGTGTAACATGTACAGTTTCATGCATGGGGGGGGGGGGGGCTGTGGCCCTGAGCCAGCCACACTTCCGTCTGGGCCCTCAGCTTGTGACCAACACTGTATACACACACGTGTCTTTTTAAACCATCCTTGTCATTAGCATTTGACATGTTCATTAATTATTGCCTTTAGCTTTTTTTTTTTTTTTTTCCTTCCTGTTTGCCTTAATTTTGTCCGGTTGACTTTCTCCAACGGAGGCTCCAAAGCTCACTTTCTTACATCGTGTTTCACAACGCATCACATGCAGTTAGGAAAAGAGAAGCCGGGACCCCCTCATTCCTCCCACCCCCCCACCACCCCATCCCCGCACCCCCGCACCCCACCTTCCCTGGGTTCTAAGGAGACTCCTGGGATCCCTCTGTGTAATGACTCACACTCTGTAATTTCTCTCTGGAGCAGGTGTGTCCGTCCCGTCTGTAGCTCTGATGGAGACAACGTGTAAGCAGGTCTTTCTCTTACAGGCGTCCACGTCGCACGTGCAGTTTGGCCCCATGAGGTTTCGTGCAGATCCACCGCAGGTAATGAATTCCCAGCCATGCTGTTTCCTCATGCTGCTTTTCTTTAAAGAGGCGGGAGGGAGAGGGCCTAAAGTTATACACTGAAATTGTCTTCTGTGTGAGATAACAGTATCAGTACTAGTTATCTAAGAGAAATGCACATTGAACTATTCATAGATGAAGAAATGTCTGCGACCTACTTTAAAAAGTTCAGTAAAATAAAAAATGGGTATAATTGGGCATATGTGTAGTGGGGGAGGGGGGGTGAGTAAAGGTGGCAAATTTTAATTTTTTTCTTATTTCAGAGAGGAAGGGGGAAGGAGAGAGAGATGAGTACATCAGTGATGAGGGAGAATCATTAATTGGCTGCCTCCTGCACGCCCCGTCTGGGGATTAAGTTTGGAACCCAGACGAGTGTCCTGACTGAGAATCGAACTGTGATCTGATTCATAGGATTCATCTGTGCTCAAGCACTGAGCCACACTGTCTGAGCAAAAGGTGGCAACATTTTAGCGACTGATGAAACTAGAAGAAGTGTATACTAGCGTCCATTATTCACAACTCTTCTGTAGGTTTGAAATTTTCTAATCTAAAAATATAAAAGCATGTCCTTCCCCGTGTTTCTGAATAGCTGTCTTCAGAGAAAAATACCCGTCAATTATTTAATCCAAAATATTAGACAAGAATAACTAGTTGAAATTGAGCCCCAAAGTTCGTTGGTGTTTCCAGCACACAAACACATGTTCACTGTTCCATTTTTTTTTAATGTATTTTTTTTATTTCTTACAGAGAGGAAGGGAGAGAGATAGTTAGAAACATCGATGAGAAAGAAGCATCCGTCAGCTGCCTCTTGTACACCCCCTACTGGGGATGTGCCCACAAACAGGGTACATGCCCTTGACCGGAATCGAACCCGGGACCTTTCAGTCCGCAGGCAGAAGCTCTATCAATGAGACTAGGGGAGATATGCTCTCAGTTCTCTGCACTTGGGGTGTTTGTACACGTGGTCAGCCTAGAGGAACCAGTAAGCCTTGGGGCACAGGGTTTCTCTCCGCTCTGCAGCCTCATTCTCACAGGCCGTCCTGCCTCTCCCCAACCACCCCGGCTCCCAGGAGTCAGGCTGGGTGTAAAGGGGATATTGTTTGTGCTGTGAACCACATCTATGGGGTGTGTGTGTGTGTGTGTGTGGGTGTCCTGGCTGCACACCCCGCACTGGGGATGTGCCCGCAACCAAGGTACATGCCCTTGCCCAGAATCGAACCTGGGACCTTTCAGTCCACAGACCGACGCTCTATCCACTGAGCCACACCGGTTTCTGCTTGGTCAACCTTTTGTTGCGTTCTGCTAGAGGTTTACTAGCCAAAGAAGAAAGTATGTGCTCCATGCCCTGCGGCTCCCAGGCAGAACAGCCCAGGTTTCCCGGCCCTGAGTTACACGCGGGAGACGTGTTTATATTCGCAGATTATGGTCACATCTGTGTGCTGGCTTCAGAACACATGGGAGTTTCCAGTGGCTTGTTAAGAAATGATATTCCAGCCTCTTTTTTCTTTTTTTTTTTTTTAAGTGTTTATGCTTTTTTGATTCAGGTCCTTTTAGTGTTTGTCAAAGATGACAGCCAGTGTAAAGGCTTCCGAAAGGCGTGTGAAAAGGCGGGGTTTACGTACATAGTGGTCCAGGACGTCAAGGTCGTCCTGACCTGTTTCCTGGCTGCACATCACGACATCATCATCATCGACCACAGGAACCCCCAGCTGCTGGACGCGCCGGCGCTGTGCAGGTGAGCCCGAGACTCAGGCCTGTGCCGAGGGGCCCAGGCGCTGTGACGGCAATGCCACCCAGAAACACACCGAGTTCAATTTACGTCCTTTAACCTGTTAACCAGGGAGTTCCCTTTTTAATGACGCAACCTGTAACGGGCACATACTCTTTCACTAGGACGTGTCAGTACGTCACGCCCGGAGGACGTAATCTCATATTATTATTTTTTAAATTTATACTTAATTAAAATAAGTGATATATATATATATATATATATAGCACAAAGGAAAATACAAAATGACAAACAAATAGAAAAGACTACCAACAAAAAAATGGAAACATCGGATTAAAAAATTATAAATTTTTACAAACAATTATAAAGGTTACAAAAAATATATACCGTCCCTCTCAGGGTGCAACATATATTTCCAGGACGTAGTCATACGTCCTACCCATTCCCGAAATTGTTTGCGTTTGACGTATTTATAGGTCCCGCTCAGTTAACAGGTTAAGCTGCTTTCATGCATTGGCTAAAACCGATCTTTACTGTCTGGTCTTTGCCTCAGGCTTTATCTTTGCTTTGTTAAAAACAAAAACAAACAAACAAACAAAAAACCAGTAAGAAAGCCGAAACTGGTTTGGCTCAGTGGATAGAGCGCAGGTCTGCGGACTAGAGGGTCCTGAGTTCAATTCCAGTCAAGGGCACATGGAATGCGAACTGGGTTCTTACTCTGTGGTTTCCTAATTCAGTTTTATCCTGATTCTGGCCCTTACCTGGTTTATAACTCCTTAAACTCTATCGGGTGCCTGTGAAAGGCCAAATATTCCGTCTGATTTACTTCCAAACCTGCCAGTCAAGGAACCCTCTCCTGAGGTCTGAGCACTGCATCTGGTGTTAGAGCCACACAGGTGAAGAAGATGTGGGGCTTGTCTCTGAGGAGCGGAGGCCGTAGTTGGCAGGACAAGTGAATGAAGTCAGTACAGGGACATACACTGAGTGGGAAGATTATTATGATCTCTGAACACATGATAATCTGGCCACTCAGTATATATCCTATAGAATAAAAGGCTAATATGCAAATTGTCCCCTCGACCAGGAGTTTGACCAGCAGGCAGGCCGGCCAACGGCCCATGTCCCCTCCCCTTGGCCAGGCTGGCCGGACCCCACCCAGGCACAAATTCATGCACCGGGCCTCATATATATATATATATATATATATATATATATATATATATATACACACACACACACACACACACACACACACACACACACTGAGTGGCCACATTATTATAAGTTCAGAGATCGTAATAATCAGTGTACATGCCCAAAGAGGATGCACACACCAAGTGCTGCCGGCCCCATGTTTCACATAGGACATGTGGGCTGAGTCCTGATGGATGGGCAGGAGACTAGAAGGGTGTGTGTGGGGGACTTTCCAGGTAGAGGAAGCAGCATTCGTAGGGACAGGCAGCGTGTCTACGGCTCCTCTACTCCAGTGGGCTGGATGGCTGCTGGGCCAGGCAGGGATGGGACGGGCTCAGGGTGGGGCTGCAGGCATGAGCCCGGTCATGTGGGCTTTGTGGGCTGAGCCCAAGGCCTTGGACCTCACCCCTCGGCAGCTGAGACCCTGGTGTGTTGTGTAGGTGAGAGGCAGGAGCAGAAGGGAAGGTCCTGGCTGCCCTTGGGAGGGCAGATGCCGGTCAGCCAGTGTGCGGCTGTCACAGGCCACATGAGCGCTGCCTGTTATGGCGCCGTCTCCCGTTTCCTGTCAGAAACCCAGGAGACAGGACGGGCCAGCAGTTAAAGGACCAAAGTGCAGATGGCAGATCAGGCAGAAGCGGGGGGACAGGCAGGGCCAACGCGGCCAAGAAGGTGGGTCCAGAGTGAGGGGCGCCTTTGCTCCCCCATCCTTTCCCCAACGCCCACTGTTCCACCAGAACTTCTAAGTGCCTTTAGTTTTTAAAGAATTGTTTCAAATTCATTTAAAATTTGTTTTTTTTAATAGGTCTATTCGATCATCAAAAGTTTCGGAAAACACAGTTATTGTTGGTGTAGTACGCAAGTAAGTCTTTTTTATTTTTTACTTTGAGATTTGTGTGCTAGCATCTGCTTGCTCTTAACAGAGGTAGTAGGCTGTCCTGCATGGCCCTTCTAGTTTGGCCCTTTTTTCTTTTTTCTTATTTTCTTTTGCTTTGCCAGTTAACTTCATGTGAGAGTTTCTACTCTCATGCGTGGGTCTATGATTTTGGACTGCCTTTCGCTTTAGAGACAGACACAGCACTAGAAAATTCCACGTTTCCCAGGCACCTAACTCCAAACATATGTATGAATATTTAGAATTATACATAAATCATCCTTAAGTTGGCAGTAAGGAAAGGATAAAAATATGTGAGAAGGGCAGTATTAAAATACATGTGACTTAGCTTACATATTTTTATAGAGAGGAGAAATGTTGCTATGCCCTTTAAACTATTTTTTTCTGAGCCTTGTTGGGGGGAGAAGGGCTTTTAAGGTTATTTATTTATTGGCTTATAACACTGTATAGATTTATGAAATTGGACATTTGTATGTACCACATCTTGCTCATCGCCAACTCTAGTTTCCTTCTATGAACATACTACTGACCCCTTTACCTGTTTTAACTTCTATACGGGATTAAAAGAAAAAAAATCAGGCAGTAGAATAAAATAGGAAAGAACTTAGTCGAAATTAAAATGTTTACATATCAAATAATAGTAGATAATGTGGCGACTCCTGTGTTCTGGCTGTTAGTATAACTTTCTATTATATATTTCAGCTATTAATATATACAGCCAAAAAGCTACATAGGAAACTGAAACAGAAAACTATTTTTAACTGTATACTTTTGATTTGTATATTACTCTGATTTATCTAAAAGCACAGTTATAGCCGAAACCGGTTTGGCTCAGTGGATAGGGCGTCAGCCTGCAGACTGAAAGGTCCCGGGTTCGATTCCGGTCCAGGGCATGTACCTTGGGTGCAGGCACATCCCCAGTATGGGGTGTGCAAGAGGCAGCTGACTGATGATTTCTCTATCCCTCGCTCTTCTTCTCTGTAAAAAAAATTAATAAAAATATATTTAATAAAAATAAAAGCAGTTACCGTGTTACGTCGTCAGTGTGTACAGAGGTGAGCTGTGGTTGGTGAGAATCGTCTCTAACCGTTTGCTCTGTCCTTTGGAAGGCGGGACGGAGAGGAGTCTGTGATGCCCCTCATCAGTGCCGGCTTCACGAGGGTACGTACCCCTTCTTTATTACGCAAGCGTGGTTCACCATGAGGGAGTGTTTTATCTTAGTTCAGAGTGAGCAAGTGGATTAATGTAAAGAGAAAAATGTGTTGTCCTTATATTGTTCCATTTTGGTTTAATTTTATAACCTGGTAATGATTAATTCTACAGTACCTAGCTTTCTTAATCTGTCCGAGGTATGCCTGTGGCCGTGGCTGTGTGTCTCCGTGGTGTAGCGTGTCGGCCTGTGCACAGAAAGATGGCGGATTCAATTCCTGGTCAAGGGTACCTGGGTGGTAGGCTCAACGATGACTCCAGCCCCGGGCCCTGACTGGGGCCCATGTGGGAGGCAGCCAGTCGACAGGTCTCTCTCACATCGATGTTTATCTTTCTCTCTGCCTTCCCTTCCTCCTCCCTCTTCAATCCCCTCCCTTCCACTCTCTATCTAAAAATCAATGGAAAAAAATACCCTCAGGTGAGGATTAAAAAAGCTAAAATAACACACCTATGCCTGATAAAGTCATCTCTATTGGCATATTCATTAAAAGTTAGACCAGCCTGGCCGTTGTGGCTCAGTGGTTGAGCATCGACCTAGGAAGCAGAAGGTCATGGCTCGCTTCCTGGTCAAGGGCACATGCCCTGGGTTGTAGGTTTGATCCCCAGCGTGGGGTGTGCAGGATGCAGCCAATCAGTGATTCTCTCTCATCATTGATGTTTCTCTCTCCCTCTCCCTTCCTCTCTGAAATCAATAGCAATATACATTACAAAAGAAGATAGGGAAATTCAGGGACTGCTGGCCTCGAACATGTAGGTCTTCATTCATGCCTGCAGGCCAGCACAGCCCTTCCCCCCGCGGAAATCAGAGCGAGGTGACAGGCCTGCCAGCCCCTCCTGAGAGGGGAAGAGAGTGCTGGCCTGCTGTCCACGCCTCAGGCAGCCCTGACTGCACAGGGCACCGAGGAGCCTGCTGACAGGTGCCCGCTGCTCACCGCAGGGAGGAGAGGTCCCCGGGCGCAGTGCCTGTGCCCGGCCCACAGGAGTCAGGGCATGGGAGGCCTGGGTGCGCTGGGGACCCGGCCCGGCCCCCGGCCTTGGCTGGCCTGCCTCCCAGGAGGTGAGATCTTGTGCACGCAGCCAGGGTCTTCACTGGTGAGAAGATCCACACTCTTCTCCCCGGAGGTGGGTGTCCAGGTTAGGTGAGCCGGTGGGAGCTACAGCCTCTGCTCCCTCTGCTCTGGAGGGTGATCGTCTGTTGGCTCAGCGGGGCCGCGGTGAGCATCAGGGAAGGAAAATACTGCCTGAGTGGGTTAGTTACCTCATGAAATCCAGGTGCAGAGAGAGATGCACACATTTTGTGTGCATTTCTTTGGTGTGTGTAACTTTAAAGAGGACAACATGCTGCTCTTAAGTGAGTATGCTCTGAAAGTTGATGTGGGACTTCGGTGAATTTCTTTCTACAGATTCCAGCCTCTGTGTACACGACCCACATCCTCTGGTTTCAGTGACCAGGCCGGGAAGCCTGTTGGGAGGAATCACTTTACGGTAGATGCGGTAACTGCTAGGCCACACTGTTCAGCCACACCCCTTCCGTTGCAGAGGTACGTGGAGAACCCCAGCCTCATGGCCTGCTACGCGGAGCTGCTGCAGCTGGAGTTCGGAGAGGTGCGCTCACAGCTGAAGCTCAGGTACCTGCCCCGGGTCCCCGCTCCGCACGGGCAGGTGCAGGGAGCCCCTGCGGGGACGGCCCCCTTTGGGGGTAACTGACCTCCTGCATGGTGGCCTGGGGTGATGGAGCAGCTGCTCTCCACATACAGATGTTCAGAGTCGGCCTGGGTGTCTCAGTCAGTGGGCATGTGGGTAACTGGAGACTCATTGTAAAGACGGGGCTGCAGCTCGTTCAGTGGTGGCACATCGGTCACGGTTCGATTCCCGGGTCAGGGCACATGCCCGGATTGTGGGCTTGATCCCCAGTGTGGGGTGTGCAGGAGGCAGCCCATCGATGATTCTCATCATTGATTTTTCTCCCTCCCTTCCTCCTCCTCCCTTCCTCTCTGAAATCAATAAAAAATATGTATTTTTATTTTTTTAATCTATTTTTTAAAAAATATATATTTTATTGATTTTTTTTTTACAGAGGAAGGGAGAGAGATAGAGAGCTAGAAATGTCTATGAGAGAGAAACATCAACCAGCTGCCTCCTGCACACCTCCCACCGGGGATGTGCCTGCAACCAATATACATGCCCCTGACCGTAATCGAACCTGGGACCCTTCAGTCCGCAGACTGACGCTCTATCCACTGAGCCAAACCGGCTTCGTCAAAAAATATGTATTTTTTAAAAATGGAAACACTGGGTAAAACAAAAAAGAGAAAGGACATAGACAGTTCATAGGGTATGTACATTAATGGTCAAATGGCCAGTAAACAGGAAAAGGTATTCAACTTCACTAGCACTAAAGCAAATGAAAATCATACACCATGTCTTATTTACCATATCTGTAGAAATTTAAAAAGAGTGATAAAACCAGTAGGGCTTCTCACAGATCCATCTTCTCTGAACTTGTTGCAACCAGAGGTGGGAACTCGTCCCTCTTTTTTTTTTTTTTTTTGTTAATCCTCACCTGAGGATTTTATTATTATTATTATTATTATTATGAGAGTGGGAGGTAGGGGGGGGGGAGGAGGAGGAGGAGGAGGAGAAACATTCATGTAAGAGGGACACATCGATTGGTTGCCTCCCGGGGCCGGGGGTGGCCTGCTGCTAAGATACATACCCCTGACTGGGAATCGAACCCGGGACCATTGAGTCACGGCTGGACGCTCTGACAACCTCACACACTGGCCAGGGCCGCCCTCCCTTCTTTTTTGAATTAGCACCTGATACCGTTATAATCAGTCAGACACCGTTAGTAAGTTCAGAGAGCGCCCGAGAGTGAGCTGGTTCTGCGGTGCGTGCATTAACCCGCCTTCCCTCCCCGAAGGGCGTGTAACTCGGTGTTCACCGCGCTGGAGAAGAGCCAGGACGCCATTAAGATCACAAGTGAGAACAACTACATCCAGGTTTGTCGTTCGGGCGGCTGTCGGGGTCTCGGGCTGTGGTTGCTCTCGTTTTTTAGAACCGAAACCCTCCAGGAAGATTTTTCTTTCTTTTGAAGTTCAAGAGACCAGTTTTCCCATAGAGGATGATGACAAAGCCCGTAAGAGATGCAATTGAAAATAAGGGCCTGTAGGTACGGAGAGGCCTCCTGGTTGCTGTATGTTTAAGGAGAGCCTTTTGGGGTTGGGGGGGCAAGGAGGATGACGCTGCAAAGGGAAATGGCTCTGACCGCAAGGCCTGCGAGTTCTCACCTTTCTCATGGCCTTCGACGGTAGTTCACACTTACAGAAATTTCTGAGGAGCTACTCAGAATAACCGGGTAATTTCCGAACAACCTGTCCATTATTAGTGAAGTGGGTTGCTATCAGTGACGGAGACACGTGTAGGTGACAGGAGAGGGAGTTGTGCCAGAGAATGTGCCTTTTGTCTGAGAACAGCCCCATCTGGAGTAGCTCTGAGCGCCCAGGGCCTCTGTCACCCAACTGTGACTTTCCTGCTAAAGAGCCGCTGATGGACATTCAGGAACGTTCAGGAGTCAGTGCCTCAGAGGCCGCACAGGGGCCAGCAGGTGAGGGTGCGGGCTTGGTGTCAGACAGGCCTCACCCCTTCCTAGCTAAGCGTCCGTCTTACTCTGTCTGAGTCCGCTCTCTCTGTACGAAGGAGAGAAGTATTAATGAGACAGCAGCCCCCCTCTTGTAAGGGTGCGGAGGTCTAAAGGGGTTAATGTGAGTGAAATGCTTGCCATAGGCCTTGGAAATAGGCCTTGAACAGTGTGATGATTTTGTCGTCATCTTCACATTATTATTACTAGTGGCTGGTGCACAAAATGCATGCACGGGTGAGGGGGGAGGGTGTCCATCAGCCTGGCCTGCACTCTTTCTAATCTGGGACCCCTCGGGGGATGTCCGACTGCCGGTCTGGGCCTGATCCCATTGGTAGTCGGACATCCCTCTCAGTCCGGGACTGCTGGCTCCTAACTGCTTGCCTGCCTGCCTCATCTTCCCTAACCTCTTTGCCTCCCGGCCTTCTCACCCCCAATTGCCCCCGTTCCCCACTGCTAGCCTGATAGCCCCAAACTGCCCCCCCCACTGGCCTGCTCAACCTCAAGCCCCCCCCCCCCACCAGCCTGCTCGCCCCCAACTGCCCTCCCCTCTTGACCTGATCACCCCTCACTGCCTTGGCCCTGCCACCATGGCTTTGTCCAGAAGGACATCCAGAAGGTTTCCCAGTCTAATGAGCATATTACCCTTTTATTAGTATAGATTATTACTATTATTAGCACATGTAAGCTTTCCCCATACATGTCTTCTAGGCCCTTTGGAAATCCAAGCATGAAGCCTTATATTTGCAAACCCTCCCCAGTTCACAGCCTGCTTTCCAAGCACATAACTCATTCCCCGCAGGAGCAGGCAGGTGCTTCCTTCCCGTTACACAGACGCGCAGTGGGCGACCAGGAGGAGCCCAAGGGACTGGGAATGGGGCCTGGCTGCTTCCCATCCCAGTCCAGTCTCTATCCCAATTCCTCACCTCACAGCCCTTCCAGCAGCCCCTGGTCTGTCTCCACAGGGCCTGCTACCGGCCTGGAGCCTCCGGAGAACATGGGGGAGAGAAGCCCACCAGTGAGCGGGCAGCAGCGCCCCGCACTCGAGGGCCCTTCGGGGGTTGTGTTCTCGCTCCCACAGGCCCTGTGGAATAGTCTTCATTGACTCTTTGCAGAATTTCTTTTCATTCACTTGATGCTTTCTTTCTTTCTTTTTTGTCTCTTCCTCCCAGTATGTAAATCCAGCATTTGAAAACACAGTGGGCTATGAGTCGGGTGAACTGATAGGGAAGGAGTTGGCCAAAGTGTCTGTGAATGAGAAAAAGGGGGACTTGCTCACTACCATAAACTCGTGCATGAAGATGGGCAAGGTAAGTACGAGGTTAGTACCTTTTTCACTTTCCTGTCGCTCGTCGGGGAGGGAGCAGCCGGCGCGGGAGGCGGAAGCGGGGGCTCCGTCTGTGGGTCCCAGGCTGCAGGGAGGACACAGGCCGGGGAAGCACAGAGGACGAAGTACGACTCACCGGTGATCACAGTCACTCTAACTGACCCTGCGGTCATGGTTTTCATCTGTATGATGAGCTGATCTTTCTAAAACTGACCTAATGGTGGACACGGGCACGCGGTTCTGGGAGAAGGATGGCCAAGGAGGTGGCACGTGCTCAGAACACCCGAGCCCAGCAGTCCCGAGCCTCGTTCCTGCCCAGCAGCCCTGCGCGGGCTCTGCGTGGCCTTCCCGCCTGGCAGGCAGGTCCCGGCGGCTTCCCTGAGGCATCTGGGCGATGGTGGTTGAACTCCCTCTGCACTGGGCACTGAGGAGGGACTGTGTGTGGTCGGAAAAGCCCAGCTGGTGCGTGCTGGCGCTGAGGCAGGAGGGAGGTGCCACCTTCGGCAGAGAAGAGTTCAGGATTGGCCAGGTGCAAGGGTCTGGGCAGGAGACCTGAGCCACCGTGGCTACCCCACCGGGGTCCTCTTCCGCCCGCTCAGCTCCCGATCCTAGGGGCTCCAGGCCGTCAGGGAGGCTGTGGGGCACCCTGGGAGTCGTCATATAGCGGGTTTATCCCATCATTCCGCCCCCCGGCTCCCCCCCCCCAAAAAAAAAAACACCAAAAGTTCCCAAACCCACAACCCTGAGGGCGGTGGCAGCCCACCATGCTAGTGGCCAGTGTTCCTCCTTTCTCCTTATTCCCGTCCAGTGCAGGGCCAGAGGCTCCCTCCCCTGCCCCTTTCCCTCAAGGCAGGTCGGGGTACTCTCCACTGGGGAGCCAGCAGGCAGCCACTGAAAACAGGCCGCGTGGACTGGTGGCCTGGCTTGTGTCGGCAACCTGGGAGGAGGTGGACGGAGGCAGAGAGAGAATTGGCGGACGGTCCCAGCCGTGTTTGGGGTGGGCGGTTTCTGTGCTCATTGCTGCAGCCGTGGTGATGACCCGGGACGGAGTGGGGGCGCTCCGGGTGTGTCTGTGCACAGCCCTATGCTGCTGCGTTGCATTCACAGGAATGGCAAGGCATCTACTGCTCCAAGAACGGCGATAACGTGCAGCAGAACGTGAAGATCATACCTGTCATCGGACAGGGCGGGTGAGTGAGCGTGCTCCCGTCGGCACGCTGTGTGTGGCTGACGGTACATGTGCTGTGAGTCCGTGTATAAGTTCAGGGCTGCCTGCAGAAATGTGGGGGACAGACGTGTGACAGGTGAGGCGGCACCCCATGGCCTTCCGGGGGGCGCTCCTCAGGGCCAGATTCCGGGCCTCAGACACTGAAGTCAGACTTGGGATCAGTTTCCTGAGCTGTGTGACCAGCACACCGGCTGATCCAATAGCCGTGTTAGCGCTGCATGGACCTGCAGATTACAATAAGGATAATGTAAACACCACCCTTTATGGAAACCACCAAGCAGAGTGACCACAGGTCGGAAAGCAGCGTCTGTCCGGAGCCTGGAAGTCTCCCGTGGTTTGTCTCTGAATCTGGCGTCAGTAAGAGGAATGATGGGAAAGGAGGAGTACGTTCTAGAACACCCAGCCGTAAATGTGCACCCGTTAGAAGCTATGCTGGCCAAGGTGATGACAAGGGGATGCTTAGGTAAATGCAAACTCCCACCTCGGAGTGACAGGAAGAGGAGGAGGAGGAGGAGGCAGTGGCGGGCAGTGGGCAGTGGCTGCAGGCCTCCCTCTGCGCCCACCTCACACTCCATCTCACCCGCCATGCCCTGATGTGGGCACTGACTGTTGTCACTTTCCAGACGAGGAAACAGGCTCCGTGGTGGGGTTTCCGGTCCCGGGCCAACCTCCGCCCAGACCGCCGGCTCATGTGCGCGGTCCCAGGCTTCGCTGCGGCTGGCGATGCCTCAGGGAGACGGATCTGTTGGGCCCTCCCTTCTGGTTCTTTGCCTTCTTTTGTCCTCTCCACGTTTTTAAAAAAATATATTATGTATATTTTTTAATATATTTTATTGACTTTTTACAGAGAGGAAGGGTGAGAGATAGAGAACCAGAAACATGGATGAGAGAGAAACATCGACCAGCTGCCTCCTGCACACCCCCCACTGGGGATGTGCCTGCAACCAAGGTACATGCCCTTGACCGGAATCGAACCCAGAACCCTTCAGTCTGCAGGCCGACGCTCTACCCACTGAGCCACACTGGTTTCGGTTTCCCTCCACATTTCTGTGTGATAAGTGTACGGACTCGATGAGCGAGGGGACAGAAAAAGGGAAGGAACAGGCGGGAGGGAGAGCCGGCGGCTTCCGGGAGGGGCCCTGGTTGCTTTGCCTTCGCTCCCACGAGTGACGGGTCCGATTGCTCAGGGAACTGCACGCGCTTCAGCATGTGGGTCGTGAGCACAAAACACGCGAGGTGACCGCAGCTCATTTAAAAACAGGTATTTCTGTTTGTTACGACGACTTGGAAGGATTGTGTTGTTTTTACCGAAGAGTCGACCACCGTGCCGCAGGCACAGAGCGTGCTTGTGGAGACGCGCTCAGTGGTGGTTGTGGAGACAGAGCGTGCTTGTGGAGACGCGCTCAGTGGTGGTTTGGCGTGGACCACAGGGTGCTTTTCTGATCTCAGGGCAGCTGTGTATGTCGGAGGGATGCTCTTTGCACAATGAGACATAGCAATAACCCTTGTTCTCTACTTGCAGAAAAATCAGACACTATGTGTCCATTATCCGAGTGACCAACGGCAGCAATAAGGTGCGTGCGGGCCTCGGGGCGCCCGGCGGGGTGTCCTCCAGCAGGCGGCAGCTCTGACGGCTTCTGTTTCGTTTCCAGGATGAGAAGATGAAAGAGCCTGCTCAGGCTGACATCCACACAGGTACGGAGCTCCGGGTCCGCCCGCTGCCCGGCGGGTCCGTGTCCCAGGCGCTGGCCTGAGGGCGTTCCCACAGGCGTCCTACGGGGAGCGCATGGCCACCTCAGTGCACGAGTCCCGTGTGGAAGCTGCTGAGTGGCGTGTGGGTTGTTGGCTGATCTGGGCTCCGGGACCAGGTCCCCGGCAGGGACAGCTTGTCTCCGACAGGAGGGCCGGGCCCTCAGACACGCCTCCCCGTGTCCGTCCCCGCTGGGTGGCTGCCCGGGCCGTCCCCGAGGAGACCGTCTCCGTCTCCCGTTCCTCCAGCTCCGGGAGCGGGCGCCGTGCTGAGTGCCCAGTGGAAGCTGTGTCACCCCGATGGGGAGACGTTTTACAGACAGAGTTCCCTTTCTCAGAGGAGGACACGGGAAGACTGGCTTCCTGCCCGGCACCCCAGGCAGTGGGGGCCGGCATGTGGGAGCGGTGCCCCGGAGCACACAGGGCTGTGTGGTGTGGGGCGCCCAGCGAGGGGTGAAGCGCTCATTGGCGGCTTCCGGATGGGGCATGAGGCAACCCCCTCCAGTGGGAGGTACAGGAAACACACGGGTCCCAGCACGCATCCCCTTTAACTGTCCATGCTGTTCCCACACGACAACGTCACACCAGACACTCTGTGTGACGAGTGTCTGGTCCAGGCCTGACCTGAATGCTGAGTGCACTGTGATCTGAGCACATGGTGCTTTGTGGCATCACGTTGTGGGGGGAGGGGGGCGGACTGGGGACACTTCCCAGTGATGGCGACGGTGGGGATGGTGCTGGAACAGACGGGTCAGAGGATAGGAAGAGCATGAGGAGGGAGAGTCCCTTTAAAACGCCAAGTGGAAACTGAAACCTGCTTCATCACCCCCAGCCCGGTCCTGGTGCACAGGCTCCTGCCGGTTCCTTTTCCTCTTGGCTCGCCTATCCTCTTCAGAATCCTTTTTCCCGGCCTGTGACCGCTCTAGATCACACCTCGTTCCACTTCCCAGCAGTGCCGGCTCAGGGCCTGAGGCGGTGCCCGGGCAGTGTGCTGAGCGGGCAGATGAGGATGAAGGAATAGCCAGTCACGGCTCAGCTTTGGAGGAGCACACGGCGTGGCCTGAGTCCCGGGAGCTGCGGAAGGAGACACGGGCTGGGGTGGGAGAAGGAGCGATGGGAGGAAGCAGTGCTGTGTCCGAGGCAGAGGCAGCAGGGGTCACGGCTGCTCCTGAGCCGGAGGGGAGCCGCTGGCCCAGCCCGCGGGGTCCGGGCCGTTGAGAGGAAGGCAGGCTGCTGCACGCTGTCCCGTCCCGGCCGCCAGCACGGTGCTGACCGGAGGTCTGAGATGTGAGGAAGGGTGCCGGGCGGCAGTGGCTGTATGCAGTGGTGCTCACCTGTGCACAGGATGAGCAGGTGTTGGGACGGCAGACGTGAGTCTGTTGAGCACCTGCCATGTGCTGGGTGGTGCTGCCGCTGGGAAGGGGACAGGAGGAGCCGGGGGCCGGGCAGGGGGTAAGGAAGCGGCGGTGTTGGGGAGATGGGGGCATTAGGGGGAGTTTCTCGAAGGTCCCACTGGACTGCATCTGCAGAGGCGGCGGCAGCTAACCAGGTGGAAGGTGGCCTGTGAGGCTCACTCCTCTGGAGGAATGCAGTCTGTGCCAAGTCACAGGGGCCGATGGCGAACTGAGGGGTCCAAGGATCACAGGGCCCTGGGCGCCACACGGGAGCTCAAATCTTACCCTGAAAACCACGGTGAGCCGATGAGCAATTGAGAGACTCTGGTCCGGAGAGGGTGGGTCGGGTTATTTAGGATCGCTGGGCTGCCTTTGGAGCGGGAGGCAGGGGCCGTGGGACCGTGAAGGGATCTTGGTTATAATGGAGGATCGGGCAGATTACAGGGGTGCTTAGGAGATGGAACCCAGACTTGCCCGAGCAGCAGTGGCCGTGGGAGGAGGAGGAGTCATGGAGCTCCGTGGCCTGGGACACGGCGGGCTTGCGGGGAGAATGCGTTCCTTGGCGGTGCCTGGGGGGGAAGTGAGGATGTGAGCCCGAGCGGAGGAGCGAGTGACAGGAGGAAGGAGGGCTCCTGAGGAGATTGTTTTCTGGGAAGAGAAGGGCTGCCGGGCAGTGGGACACAGGGACAGGCCGGTTGGGGAAGAGGGACCGGGAAGAAGAGCAGGAGACGGGAGGCAGGCCAGGAGGTGGACTGTGTGAGCAGGAGCTTCCAGAAAGGGGTGTCTGGACCACAGGCTGTCGGGTCAGAGTGGACTTGTGTCCTCCAGCTACAGCAGCGCAGAGGCCAGCAGGGACCTGACAGCCCGGTCAGTGCCCACCTGAGCAGGTGGCAGATGCACGTGAACATGTGCCTGAGGCCGGCCTGCAGGTCCTGTTTGCAGGCAGCCCCGGGCTGCTCCTCTGTGGGCTGGAGGGGCAGGAAGGCTGCTGCCTGGCATCCATTGGAGCGGGGGGCGGGGGATGGGCAATCCCCTTGGAGCCCAGGAGAGTCCGGGTGCTGTTCACAGAAGGGCTTTTGGGGGGAGATGACAGAGCCCAGCCCAGTGCCCCTCGGGAGAGGCACGCTCCTCCCAGGACGTCAGACCTGGTGTTTGCGTAAAGGGTTTCTCCTCTTTGGGCTCAAAAATCCCTCCCGTCCCCTCAGTCTATAGCAACCTGAGGAGTTCCGACTTCACATCTACTCATCAGCACTCTCCATCGGCCGGGACCCTCACTTTGGGACGTGCAACCTGGGAAGCGCCAGTCTGTGACGTCCACGTGGGGCTCCCAGAAGCCCTGCCGGCTCCCTGTCCGTCCTCCTGTGCACCGTGTGGGTTTCTATGCAACTCAGACAGCGTCCCAATTCTTACATGTATTTTAACGGTGACTGGTCATTTCCACCCCTTGATGAGGCCATTTACCGCTTGTTCCCACAGCCAGCCAGTCAGGCAAACACAGAGACAAGAGGAAAAGCTCCCTGGACGTCAGGAGTGTCACCTCGCGAGCAAGCGAAGGTAGGTCCCCAAGGCGGGGAGCTGGTACCCCCTGGTGCTGCACACACGGACCTGGGGCTTCCCCTGCTCAACCCCCCCCCCCCCCCCCCCCCGCCCTGCTGTCACGATCACATTTTTAAATGCGAACAACTTCTTCTATGGCCCTGTGGTGAAGTAGTGGTTGTTACTTTTGGTTCAATGACCACACTGGGGAAGGCAGCACCTATGCCGGTCACCAAGTTTAGACCGAGTTTTGTTGGTCGCCAGCATTTAGAGCGTTTGGGAGCCTGGGGTGGTGCTGCCCCTGGGCCTCCACTTGGGCACGGGAAGCCGCCTCAGGCTGGGAACACTGGGACCCTTGAAGGCCTGACAGTGGGGCTTTGAGGGGGACACACAGAACCCTGTGTGATACCTGTCTTCCTGCCTGCGCTCCGCCCAGCTCCCCCCAGCTCAGCCGCCCCCAGAGGAGCCCCATCTGGCAGGACCAACAACTAAATAAACTGGAGCCTCAGAGCTGCCGCTTGCTGGGTTGAGGTGTTGCCCTCATTAGCCTGGGTTAAGCAGAACTCATGGGTTTCGGCTGACGGGGAGCTGTGCTTTAGCTCCGGCGTGTGGGGCGCAGAGAGCCCGTGTGGCACTGTCTCCTGGGAGCAGCGAGCTGAGCATAAACACAGAACGAGGCTGTGGCCTTGGTGTGCGGGTCGTTTCCTGTTTTCTCTCTGACGTCAGACATTCTGTCGGGCCAAGTGCATCCTGGTGCCTGGAACTGAGGGAAGCAGAGCCGGCTCGTTAGGATGGGAAGGAAGCTCAGCGACCGGGTCGTTCTGCTCTTACCCCGCACCGTGCAGCGGGACACACAGAGGCAGGGGAGGAGGGGGACATGGAGCCCTGGCTCAAGACAGGTGCCCGAGCTGTGCCGCCCTGACCTCTGCCCTTGGGCTCTCCCTGTAGTGGCCATCCAGAGACGACACTCCTCCGTGGCCCGGATCCACTCCATGATCATGGAGGCGCCCATCACCAAGGTGAGGGATCAGTCTCCACGCAGCGGTGACAGCGCCCCCTGGCCGTGGAGCCCCCCTCAGAGAGGCGGGGGGGGGGGGGGGCGGGGGGAGGGAGTGCTGGCTGGTCGGGGTTGGCCCTGAGCACCAGGCAGCCTGACTCTGGCTGCTTCCCGTGGTTTGAAGGCTGAGCTCGTGTCTTTTCTCCCTTGCTGTAGGTGATCAACATCATCAGCGCTATCCAGGAGGACAGTTCCACGCTTGTGACTGAAGCCTTAGACCACGTCCTGGAAATCCTGAGAACCACTGAGCTGTATTCACCGCAGTTTGAGGCGAAGAACGAGGATCCTCACGCCAACAACCTCATTGAGGGTCTGATATCTGTAAGTGCGCTGGCCGGGCTGTGGCTGGAGCCCGCTGCTCCTGTTTGCCACCCCCCTCACCCCCATTGTCTGTGCATGGCTGCTATATGGGGCTCACTGCCCGCCTAGGCCACAGCCTCCCTCCACCTGCCGCCTCCGCCCAGGGCTTGGCGTGGAGCAGAGGAGGGCAGACAGTCTGCTGAGCCAGGACCCCATTTTTGCTTAAAGGTCCTACAAGCAATTTAAATAAAAAATTATTTTAAAGGTTTTTAAAATGGGGGCAGAAAAAAAAGAAAAAAGCTCGATGCTGCATAGAAACAGAAAGAGGCTGCATAGAAACTGGTCGGGCCCAGTTTCCCTTGCCTTCCTGGTGGCTTCACGGGGAGAATGGCCTTGGACATGGGCTTGTGAGGGTCCCACGTGCTCTTCCGGCCCTTCTCGGAGAGAGGCCTCACACGGGAGGAGCAACTGTGAGGAAGACAGATCGGCCCGTCACTATCTGACACCTCTGTGTTGGTCAGAAATAAAACTTGCCTTTCTGCTCTCTGATGTCACTTGACATCTTAAACATTGGGCTTCAGGCAGGTTCTGGTACCGCCCCCAGCCCCACTGTCAGGGCGTCAGGACTGCGGAGAGCGAGCGAGGTTCCCTGAGGTTCCCTGTGGTGGGAATGTGTGTTGAGACTAATGTCTGACGTGGGCCTGGCCTGGTAGAGGCCCCTGCCTGTGGGGAGGGGGACAGTGACACAGGACGGTGGGGAGAGGGCCTGCAGGATAGGAAGGGCGGAGTCGGGGCTTAGAGGGCCAGGAAGATTGTAGGTTTTTCCAGAGGACACGGGAGCCTGGTGTCCATTAGGGTGAGGAGGATGGGGACGGGGAAAAAGAAACCAAACGATCGGGAGTGCTGCCAGTGCCAAGCGAGGGAAGGGACGGGCCTGGAGGTGCGTGAGGGAGTCTGCCCCACTGCCCTCTGGGAACAGCTGTCTGGGGGTGGGGAGTGTCACAAAATAAAGAACAGCTGTGACCTCTCTCTCTCTTTATCAGGATGGTTTTCGAAGACTATCTGGGAACGAGTATACTCTCTCAACAAACGGTGAGTTTTCCTTGTTATTCACATTACAGTCCAGTTTAAATGATGAAATTAGTTTTCCTCCTCTGTAAGGTGTTTCTTGGTTTGTCCGAAAAGCCCAGAAACAGCCCTGACCCCGCACCGCGCCCTCAGGAGAGGGCACGCAGAGCCTGACACCGTGCTCCCCGCCGCCTCTCCCCAGACCTGCAGCAAGTCCCGAGCGGCTTATTCACCTCCGAGTTCCTCCATGACGTCCCTCCGCGGATAGCTCAGGCCATGGAAAACGAGGACCACTGGGACTTCAGTGTTTTTGAACTGGAGGCTGCCTCTCAGAAAAGGTGAGCGAACAGCTCATGCCAAGGGCCGGAGCGGAGCAGCCCCGGGGAGTGGGTGTGCACAGAGCTGGCCCCCGGCCTGGGTGGCGGCTCGGGAAGGAGTCACCGGGCCAGGCCTCCGCGAGGGGCCCGCGGGAAGCCAGGGAAGAGGGCCTGGTCACACAGCAGACTCTCAGGAGCATGAGACTGAGCCAGTGGCTGACTTCTCCAAAGAGCAGGCGTTTCTCCTGTGAAATACGGGTGTTGGTCCCTCCTGTAGGTGTGGTATGTTGGGATCGCAGCAGAGAGTCCCACTCAGAGCCTAGAACCAAAAATGACAAATACACAACACACGTTGGAAGAGCTAGCCCGGCCTCGGTTGCTGCGTTGGCGACGGGCCTGCCTTTACTTGTGCACCTGCTGGAAGGACTGTGACCAGCGGGCGGACGTGGCACACGGACGGGTGGAGGGTGGGCAGTCGGGAGGTGCGCTCCTTGGGGATCTCCAGGAGACAACCGAGGGGTCGCACCCCAATTTGGGGGAACGGTCCCACGGCAGCCCTGCCCGCCTTGGCTCCTGTTCACTGTGAGGCAGCTGCAGAGACGTTCTCCTCCCACGCCCCTGGCGTGGCACAGACGGTGGGAAAGAACCCCACGGCAGACAGGCCTTCGAGCTCCTGCTGCCGCTCCAGTGGCCAGGCTTCCACGGGAACCAGCCACGGCAGCTCAGGCCCGGCCAGCCCATCGCCTCGGCACTGCCTCCGCCAAGCCACATCTCTTGCCCTTCGCACCAAACGCCAGGTCACGGTTGGCTGCTCCCCTCCTAAGGGGAACCTCCTCACGTACATCCACCTGCCGATTGTCGAGACCATCAGAGGCGGGTGACGGGCTGGCTCTCGGCCGTTGGGAACTGTTGCATATTCAGGCGGGGTACCCAGCCAGTGGCACAAAGGAGAAAGTTGGGTTCAAGGTGGCACCTGTGAGCTTGGCCGCAGACACTCGGGTTCTGAGGAGCCGAGAGCAGCGGGCGTCTCCCAGGAGGCGACCCCGCTGCCTCGCCCTCCGACGTCGGACTCGGGTTTGCTGTTCGGGGCTGGCCTGTTGCTATCCTGCTGTGACTGTCTCTCCCGACAGGCCTTTGATTTTTCTTGGTCTCAAAATCTTCGCTCGCTTCGGGGTCAGTGAATTCTTGAAGTGCTCGGACACGACGCTGCGGCTGTGGCTGCAGACCATCGAGGCCCATTACCACTCCTCCAACCCCTACCACAACTCCACCCACGCCGCCGACGTGCTCCAGGCCACTGCCTACTTCCTCTGCCAGGAGAGGGTCAAGGTGCCTGCCCCCCCCCCCCCCCCAGCTCCACGCAGTGTGCCCGTTTGTGGCCTGGAACGGGATGGCACTGGGCCGTCATGGGGTTGGTCCCCAGGGAGAAAGGTAGCGAGAACGGGAGGGGCTGATTCTTTCGCACCTCTGCTGAGGGCGCCTGCGTTTGGGCAAGTCCTTGACTTGTGTGAGTGACAGTCCAGTAACTTCCCTGAAACTGCACAGACACAACTCACAGCAGCGACAGGGAAGCTGGGTTGGCTCAACAGGACGCTCTTCTCAGCAATCTGAGCTCCTCTGACCTTGAAGTCGGGCAGGAGGAGAACCAGAGCCCCGCTCGGGGCAGCGCGGCGTCTAAGAGCTCTCTCGCTTTCAGCGAACGTTAGACTCGGTGGACAAGGCCGCCGCCCTCATCGCAGCCACCGTCCACGACGTGGACCACCCGGGGAGGACCAGCCCGTTCCTGTGCAACGCGGGCAGCGAGCTGGCCGTGCTGTACAACGACCTCGCCGTGCTGGAGAGCCACCACGCCGCCCTCACCTTCCAGCTCACCACCCGGGACGACAAGATCAACATCTTCAAGAACTTGGAGAGGTGAGGACCACGAGGAAGGGTGGGTCCCTCTCTCCACACTCCATACGCCGCTCACGGTGGGCTTTGTTCAGGGGAGCGCAGCCCTTTTAGGGCATTTTCATCCTCTGAAACTATCCAACTCAGCCTGGCCGTCTGGCTCAGTGCACAGAGCGTCGGTCTGTGGACTGGAGGCTTCCAGGTTTGAGTCCAGTCAAGGGCATGGACCTCAGACGTAGGCTCCTCCTGGGCCAGGCCCTGATTAGGGCTTATACAGGAGGCAACCAATTGATGTGTTTCTCACATCAATATCCCTCTCTATCTTTCCCTCTTCCCCTATTCACCCCAAAAGTCAAAGAAAAAACATCGAGTGAGGATTAAATAAATGAAAATGTCAAACTCATTAGCAGTCACTCCTTACCCAGCCCTCCAGCCCAAGGCCACCACTGAGCAGTCCCGTCTTCACAGACAGTTAGTGAACGGAAGCGTTCTCACTGTGTGGGCGTGGGGACTGCTTCTTCCACTCAGCACAGCTCCTCTGCGTCCCGACACTTGGCCAGGAGGGGGGATGCTGACGGCTGAGCCTTTAGACACTCGGAGCGCCTGTCCCGGCCTGGGACACGCCCTCTACCCAGCAAGTGTCTCCTCGGCTCAGTCCACACACTACTTCCCTGGCCCCTCAACTCATTCCTCAGGCCCAAGTCCCTTTTGTAGCGCTTTACCACATTTTTCATTACTTGTCTGATATCTGATTCGATTCTAAGTTTTTTACTGATTGACAAGATTGAAAAGTCATGCACTGTGGGGGGAGTGGTTGGGCTGTGCCCCCAGCCCAGCCTGCACCCTCTCGCAGTCCAGGAACCCTCGCTCCTTAGTGCTGCCTCGGAGGCAGGAGAGGCACTGGCTTGGCTTCTGGCTGAGTGGTGCTCCCCATGGGAACACACTGACCACTAAGGGGTAGCTCATGTGTTGAGCATCTGCCCCCTGGTGGTCAGTGCGCATCATAGCAACTAGTCATTCTGCCATTCAGTCAATTTGCATATTACCCTTTCATTAGATAGATAGGATAGGATTTTAGAGAAAGTCGATCTGTAGTCTCATTTACTGATGCACTCGTTGATTTTTTTTGTCTGCCCTGACGGAGGATAAACCTGCGCCTGGCTTAGGGGATGGCGCGCTAAACAGCTGAGCTCCCAGCAGGACCGAGCGGATTCCTAAGCCTGTGATCACCACTGGCCCCTTGGTGTCCAGTGACAGGGACTGAACATCAGAGGGAGGAAAAGTATTCTGTATGTCTATTTGTTAATGATTGTATTATTTCCCGTATGAACAACTGTACTTAAAGTACATCTTCATTTGGATTTTTGAGAAAAGTTTTAATGCGGGATTTTATAAAAAAAAAAAAAAAGACTCCTAATTGTACTCAACTCCCTTTGCCACATCCTAGCATTTCGAGTGGCTTTAAAGCAGGTTCTATTCAGTCACTGCGTGTGTATCAGTCACCGCTGGGAAAGGACACAGGCCCTCATCACTGACTGTTTCCGGGGCAAGGAACAGAGTGACGGAGAAAAGGGGCAGAATACAGGTTTCATTTCACATTCTCGAGTTTTTAATTCTATGGTTGCGTCCTCAGAAAATAGAAATTTGAGAGTAATTAGAAGCCAGTGCTGGGAAGAGGCGCAGAGCACTCCCTGGACAGGCTTGGCTATCAGGGCTGGGTTTCTGGGCACAAAGCCGCTGGGTCCTTGAGTGGGGCCAGTGCTTCACAAGCACAGGCTCTGGTCCCCGCGACCAGGCTCCGCTCACCCCGCTACGTCCGTCCATCCTTTATTCTGAGCACCGGGTGCTGACACGGGGATGACGGCGTCACGGACGCTGCACCTTCTGACTTTAACTTCTGATGGGGTTTCCCTCGCTAAGGATCGGGTGCTCGCCTGTAACTTGCCCGTCCTTCTGAAGTGCACCTCCCAGGGGTGTCAGGACGCTAGCCCCAGGGGACACACATGCCGGCTCACAGACGGGGTTCCGGCGTCCCTGCCTGTCTGGTCCGGGGGTGCGATCTGCAGCGGCCTCTCATTTGTTCCCTGAAACAGGAGTGACTACCGGACGCTGCGCCACGCCATCATCGACATGGTCTTGGCCACGGAGATGACGAAGCACTTTGAGCACGTCAACAAGTTTGTCAACGGCGTCGTCAAGCCCTTGGCAGAGCTGGAGGAGAACAAGGTGAGGGGCCGGCTGCCAGGGAGTCTGTGCGGGGCTCCTCCCCCTGTGGTTGGCTCTCGAGTTTGTTCTGTCCGTCCTCACGCCGGATCCAGGGGAGATTTTACAGAAAGCACCGATTCTTTCCTAGATCCTCTTCCTCCGAGGCCCCCATAGCCACCACCTCGCTCCGGGCACTGGAGCCCTTGCTACCAGCTCGCAGCCTTTCCCACCGCGGCCAGCACCCCGTCCTGTGAGCTAGGACCCCATTTACTTCTGCACTCCAGTCTCTCCCTCCGGCTTATTACCCTTCTCACGTCCTGTCGAGGATCTGGCTTCCCTCGCTGGTCTCCTGTCAGCCCGCCCCAAGGATGCATACGTCCTGCCCGGCCCCCAGGACAGAGCTGGTTGTGGCCTGTACCTGCTCCTGCTCCCTGCCCGCCACAGAGAGACACCACGCCCAGTGCCTCGTGCTCGCAGTGGGGCGGGGCGGCTCCCGGGCCCTCTCTGATCGCTCTGAATGTCACTGTCCTAGGACGGTGATCCAGACGCCGACGCCTCACACCTGATGCTCAGGACCCCCGAGACCCGGACTCTGATCAAGCGGATGATGATCAAGTGCGCCGACGTGTCCAACCCCTGCCGGCCCCTGGAGCAGTACATCGAGTGGGCCGCTCGCATCTCGGAGGAGTACTTCTCTCAGGTCAGACGCTGCCTCTCCTGCCTCCACTTCCACTTCCCTGTGGGGAGCCGTGTCTGTGGGGTGGCCGTACATTCGCTCACCAGTCACAGCCTCTCAGCTGTGAGAGCTCAGCCACTGACCAGTCTCAGCACCGAGGAGCCCGCCCCGTGTGACAGCCCTTCCGCTCTCGCTGGCGGCGTGAGGGGCATCGCCGAGACTGTGACAAGGTCACAGGTCACCACAGACCTGTGGGCAGTGGACCCAGCCTGGCCCTGCACTTGGGAAGTGTTTTCGGGGTGTAACGCTGTAAAGCATAGATAAGTTCCATTTCTCCCATCACTTCAGTGCAGGAGAGAGCAGAGAGGATCAATGGAACGAAAAAGTTTATTAAGTCTTCGGTCCTACACCCTCTCCATGTTAACGCCCTCTCTATTAGGAATAACACAACGTTCCTGACTCTGACCTCTGTTCCAACACGCAACAGCCAAGACCGAAAGGCCGTGCCAGTCCCTCCTGCTCCTCAGGCGCCTCCCTCCCTCCCTCCCTCCTGTCCGTGTGCGGTGACCTCGCCTCTCCCAGTAGCCACCGTCTCCTGGATCTGCCGTCACTCCCATCAGCGCGGCAGCTTCCGGTCCTGTCTGACCTGCGGCAGGAGGCAGGGAGGGGCTGGCAGATGAAGTGTGTAGTCCGTGCAGGGATGTAGCTCACTCACCACTCCATGCCTGCTGAGCGCCTGTTCACCTGTCGGCGGTCAGCACTCCCGCAGTCCGGCACGCCGCTCAGGCTGGCGGCGTAGGGGCGGGAGCTGTGCCACTGAGGCCCGTGTACACAGCTGTGATGTTCTAACGACGCACGACTGCACAAAGCGCTCACCCCGAGCTGATGTTCGCTCTGTTTACTGCACAGTCTCGGGTGTTCAGAATCTCCCCAAATAAGGTGTCGTGGCCGGAGACGAGAACAGACACCAGGCCCCGTGCTGTGGGCTGTCTGTCTCCCGCGTCCCCATGTCCTGGGGCGGGGTGGCAGCCGGTGGGCGCAGCTGCCGCCGGAATCTTAACTGAGGAGCTTCGGCAAGAGGCTCCCAGGGGGTGAGGAGGTGGGGTCCTGAGGCCCTCTGGGCACAGAGCAGGCCCCACTCGGGGAGCAGCCGGGGGCAGGGGCTCCCAGCGGCTGCTAGCACTGGCTCCCTGGGCTCTGGGCGAGGGACAGGCACTGAGACTTGTACTTCTGGTATTTTCTGCTCTGCAGACTGAGGAGGAAAAGAAGCTGAACTTGCCTGTGGTGATGCCAGTTTTTGACCGAAACACCTGCAGCATCCCCAAGTCCCAGATCTCCTTCATCGACTACTTCGTCACAGACATGTACGACGCCTGGGACGGTGAGAACTCCAGAGGCCGTGTCCTCCATGTGGAACAGGCTGTGTCTGTATGTGACGCCAGGCTATGCTTGGGGCTTAGACTTTCCAGAAAGACGGAGGTGAACAAGCTATCGCTCGGGTCCCACACCCGTTTCAGAGACTTGAGCTGGCCACACAGCGAGCAGCAGAGAAACGGGGGTTCACAACCTGGAACGCCGTTTGCTCCCAGTCGCGGGCCCCTGGCAGAGGCACATCCTTTCCCACAAAGGGCCGTCGGGGGGAGGTTTCGCAGCAAAGAGGACCCACTCGGACCCCCTGGGAACCTGCTCTGCCCGCCACAGGCCGGCACTCACGGGATGGGCTGCAGGGCAGGCAGATGTGGGCTGCAATGCGGGGGGGGGGGGAGCACCAACGGGAGAGGTTCTCACAGCCTGCTGTCTCCTGGCCACACCACAAGGGGGGGGCTCTTGATGCTCTGTCCTGACACCCCAGCCCCAGGTACTGATTAGGGTCACTAAGCAGAGGTGCTCCCTGTTTTACTGATCAGAGTGGTCAGCTGAGCGAGTGCTAGCGGAGCTGCTGCCTGAGTGCAGGACTTGCCTTTGGTTCCCCTGGGCCCCTCGCGTTCTGCAGGCGCCAGTCCTACCCCTTCTTCCGAACGCGCTCTCCTTAGAAAGCCAGGCCTCTAGCTGAGCTGTGAGAAGACCTCACGTTCCCCTGTCTCCTCAGACTTTGCAGACCTACAGGAGCTACTGCAGCATCTGGACAGCAACTTTAAATACTGGAAAGGACTCGACGAGAGGAACCTGCGGGGCCTCCGACCACCTCCGGAACTCTATCAATAGTATGTGAAGAACCCCCTTCCTTGTATTTTTAAGATACATTTTATTGATCTCAGAGAGATGGAGAGATAAAAACATCAATGACAAGAGAATATCATTGATTAGCCGCCTCCTGGACACCCTACACTGGAGATTGAGCCCACAACCCAGATAGATGTCCCAACTGGGAATCGAACCCATGACCTCCTGGGTCAGAGGTTGATGCTCAACCACTGGGCCTCACAGTATTACAGAGCAAGAAGAGGAGGCAGTTGGATAGTCGGGAGAGCCAATTTTGTAGCCAATACTGACCTCAGACTCACTGTGGGTTTTTAGTTTGCTGGGCAGAGGGTTCCTACCTTTACACTTTCACGTTCACCCACATCCTCTCCACTTTCACCAGCAAAGTGTGGACCCGGTCCTGAAGGTTGTGGTGAAAAGGGGTATAAGTGGTAAAGTTGGTTCAGGTCAAGAAGGAGGGGGTGAAAATGGTGAATCTCAGGGTACTGAAAATCATTGTGAAGGTCAAGTTGAAAGCAGCAAAGGTGATGGAGATGAAGGGGTCAAGGTTGCAGTAGTGAAGGGGTAAGTGGTGAAGGTGAAAGTTGAGATGAAAGTGAGGGAGTAAAGGTGGTGAAATTTAAATGAGGGTAATGTGGTGACTGCGGTGCAGGTGAAGGGAGAGGTAGTGAATGTGATGTTGAAGGTGCAGGCGGAGAAGGTAACTTTGCAGCAGTGAAGGGGGTGGTTGAAGGGCACTATGAAAATGCAGGTGGTAAAAATGGCAAGGAGAAGGTGGTATGGTTAAGTTCAAAGTGACAGGAAGGTGGCCATGGAGAAGGCAGGGTCAGGAGGAAGGCGGAGCAGTGAAGGAGGTGAGTGAAGATCACGGAGCAGGTGGATAAGATAAAATGTGTGAATATGAAGTTCAAAGTGAGGGTGAAGGTACAGGTGGCAAAGGCAGATTGCATGAGGGAAGGAGTTGGGTGACGGTGGTGCTGCTCACAGTGAGGGTAAAGATGGTGACATGGTAAGGAGGGTGGTCATGGGGCAGGGGTTGAAAGAAAAGGTGAAGTTGAAATGCAAAGATGAAGGCAGTAAAAGGTGAAACTCGGGTTAACAGCGGTGTAGTAGGTGGCTGAAGTTCCAAGTGAGGGGGAGGATGGTGGAGGTTATGAAAGTGAGAAGGTGGGGGAATGTAAAGGTGACGTGGGTAAAGATGTGTTGAAGCTGATGAAGTCAGAGTGTGTAGGTGGTAAACTTGGTTAAGGTGATGGTGTGAAAGTCAGGTGAATGTTGTATCAGTGAAGGTAAAGCAGTTAATTTCAAATTGAGATGAAGGTAGTGAAGGAGGTGATGGGTGCAGGTCAAGGTGAATATAGCCCTGGTGAGGGTGAAGGTGTTGAAATTGAAGGTGAAAGTCAAAGCCAAGAGTGAAGACGGTGAAGGGGGCGGACAGGTAAAGGTGATGTTCAAGGTTGAGGTGGGTGAAGATGGTCATGGAGGTGGGTGAAGGTGAAAGTTGTGAAGGAACTGAAACCTCTCAAACTTACCATGAACTCCTGCATGTGCAGACAGTTCCCCACAGGGCTCAGCACTGAGAACACTTTATGGCATTCTGACCTTTTCCCACAGATTTTGAGGAGGATTACTAATATCAATTATTAAAGTATTTGTTACAACTTCAATATTTGAGTTTAAAAATACTTCAAAGCCAACTTTAAATGGTATGATCAAATTTACATTATTCATATCCATTAAATATATAACATACTTATTTTCTTAACAAATTAATGCTCACATGCTAACTGCTTTTAGAGAGGAAGTGGGAGAAAAAGAGCTATCTGCTGGTTGCCTTCCACCCCAACACGTATCAGACCTGCAGCCTTTTGGTGTCGGGATGGTGCCATACCCACCAGGGCCCTGCGTGTGAAATTTTAGCCGGTTTACGCTAATCAGGAAACCCTGTTTCTGCAGGAGAAGGCTCCTTCTGATGGAAACCGGACCTCTCAACTGCTCTACTCACCTCACGTACTTTGCCAGTGATTCAACAAATTAAAAGAAATTTAAAAGAAATTAAGATTGAACACTTTTTTCATAAAATTTTATTAATGACTTTCCCAGAAATTTGCCTTATTTTGTAGAGTTTATACCAAATATTGTCATAGAAACATAGCAAACAGAATATTTACTAAATTGACTTTTTTAAACCAATCTGTTTTTATCTTCCATGGTAACTTTAAATTCTAGATATATTTATAAAGGTTCTGTATCTTCACACTTTCAATAAATGTAGTACCATAAAAAAATGATGACATACCCAAGGTACTTATTTCATTTTAAACTTACACTGCTTTTTTTCCAAGATAAACTATTTGTAAGAATTCACGTGTCACCTTTTCTTTGGTGTTTTATAAGACTGACAATATTTCATGTTTTTCACCCTCTGAATGAAGAAAATTCCTTTAGTGACAGGAAAGATTAATAGTTTAATGACTATTTCAACTTCACAAAAGGTCTTGAATATGTTGAAAAACTCCCAGAACTACCTTTAATTCACCAAACGGATGTCAAGCACCCTGAAGAGACGACAGACCCCCCACAGGAGTCTCTATGGAAAGAAAAGACCCCTTTTTCCTGTCGGTAATTGCAGGCTGAGGTAGGGAGGTCAGAGCAGGCAGCACTATCTGGAATCTGCAGCACATGTGTGAGGAGAGGAAAGGAGCAGTAGAAACTTTAAGGTAAGCCCACACAGTTTACAGAACGGGGAGGTTTCAAATAGACATTCTAGATATGAAGAACATCATCAAAGCAAACACACCTTGCCAGGTTTAACTGAAGACGAGGTTTTACTAAACAGAGAACCAGTGATCAGGAGGCATGTTTCCAAAAGGGGAGAATACGTATGGACAGGCACCACCCAAAGGAAACCTAAGGATTTGACAGGCATAACTCCTCAGGTTTAAAAGGATCAATAAACTAAATCCACCTGACACACTGAGTTCAGAACATAACCTGAAAGCTGTGAGAAAAGACCTTGTTCGTTCTACCAACAAAGGCTGCCAGGGGACTTCTCATCTAAACCCTGAAGGAGACGGTCAGCTAGCGCTCAGAGAGAATTCCAGCCATGCACTCACAGCTCATTACACACAGCCCCAGGGGGGAGAAAGGCCGAAAGATGTATAAAGTGAATCCGGGAAGAAGAGCTTGGTTACAGCAATCGGTGGTACATGAAGAGATGGGTAAGCACCGGGGCAAAGCTAAAAGTACACCGAGTGGCCAGATTATGATCATCTCTGAGCGCATATAATCTGGCCACTCAGTGTGTGTGTGTGTGTGTGTGTGTATATATATATATATATATATATATATATATATATATATATATATTGAGTGGGGGAAATAACAGTGACGCATAATCGGGAGTAGGAGGAGCAGGTATCCAAAGTAGGATAAGCTAAATGTTCAGCTTATCCTAAAAGTTTTGTGTATTATAGATTAGACCTTGAATATGATGACTTACAAGTTAAGGGAAATTGTTAAAGGACCAAAAATATATGGAATGTAAGCCACTGGAAAGGATGTGGAGAAAATCCTCGCGCACCACGAGTGGACCTGTAAATTGGTACACCCACCAAGGAAAACAATGTGGAGGCTCTTCAGAAATTAAAAATATAATAACTGTATGTCCCAGCATCCATTTCTGGGTGATTTATCCCAAGAAATTCAAAACACTAACTTGAGAAGACATAAGTACTTATATGTTCACCGCAGCAGCATTTACAACATGGATGCAACCTCAGTGTGCACGGATGGATGGATGGTAAGAATGATGTGGTGTGTGTGTGTGTGTGTACATGAGAGAATAATGCTTGGCCATAAGAAGGAACAAAGCTGCCATTTGCAACAACATGGGTGGACCTAGAGGGTACACGTGGTGAAATAAATCACACAGAGAAAGAGGAACATCACAGAATTTCACTCACCTGTGGGATCTAAAGAATAAACTCACAGGTGCAGAGAACAAATTGATAGCTGCCGGATGGGAGGAAGGTGGGGGACTAAATGAAGGGGGATTAAAATACAAACTGGAAGGAAATACAATCAATAATATTGTAATAGCCCTGGCCAGTTTGCTCAGTGGGTAGTCACCCCAAGGACTGAAGGGCGGGGGCCTTGATTCCCAGTTGAGGGCATGTACTTCAGTTGCAGGTTCCCCAGCCCTAGTAAGGGCACGTGGGGGAAGCAACCAATCAATGTCTCTCTCTCACATTGTGTTTTTTTCTCCTCCCTCCTCCCTTCCACTCTATAAGTCAATGGAAAAAAGATCCTCCAACAAGGATTAAAAATAACAATCCTGGACTATGGGTGGTGTCAGGTGGGTACTAGACTTCTGAGAGGATGGGGTCACATTGAAAGGTATAGAGGTACTTAATCACTCTGATGTACACCTGAAAGTAATAGCACTTAATGTCAACAGTAATTGAAAAAAATCTTAATTTTGTCATGTAGGCTTAAGCTTTGGAGGACCATAGACCACTGTTCTATAGGATTTCTCCCTTCCTCCAGACAGATGGGACCTGATTGCCTAGGGCCACTGTTGCATTGTAAACCAGCGAGCTGAATAGGGGACACTTCACTAAGCCGGATGTAGAGTCTTGATGATGCCAGCAGACTCAGAAATATTGCTTCCAGAGTCTGAGCCAAAACAATATGGAGGAGGTTTTCTTTTTGTACTTTCCTAGGCTCTTTGACTCACAAATATGGCGTTTTCAGACCTTCGTAGGCTTTGTTTAAAAAAAAAAAAAAAAAGTATCAAGTGCCGGGATGAGGGCAGTGCTTAGAGGCTATCTTGCAGGAAGCCTGTGGCCTTGAGCACAGCACCATCAGGGGACTAGGAGACACCGGCACGGGAGGAACCAAGGCCAGACTCACGTGAGCAGAGATGCGAGCCAGCGTCCTTACAGAAGCCAGAGACAGAATTAACAGGACGAGGGGCCACCTGTATTCAGTGGCAAACTTCT